AGTAGCGAAATATTTATATCGACTATCTTGCTATATAACAATTTACCCTCACCTCGACCTAGGCTTTTTTTTTACATATATAGCGTACATTTAAGCTTATTTTTACTTTTAAGTTGATATCTTTTTTCTTATCTTTAGGAGATGAATTCTGCTGGTGAGACAGACGCCGTTTCGAATCTTCTAAAGAAGCTCCACAAGGAACTTCCTAGTGAAAGCGTGCTTTGGTTTGTCAAATGTTGGCTGGACAGCCCTGAGACACTAGCGGATCCTGATGCCTGTGTTCTGTCTCGTGGTGATGCCAAGGGTCGCATGCGCCGTATTGACGGAGGAAAAGGCTCAGACAAAGTCAGTTTAAGGAGTAATGATTTTAAACTTTAGATGGCCCTATGCAATTATCACGAGGGTGTAAGATTAGAAATAGGGCTGGAGATAAGCTGTTGTGGAATTGACAACATCGGCGATTTATTGAAAGTCGTTTTGATTATTCTAGACTTTGATTTTTTTATCAACTTTCTGTCTGCTGACGTGGATTATGGCGATTGTGGTTATAAGAAGCTGTTGCTGATTATTTTGTCTGAGAGCCTTACTATTACAAAGGTTTTGTAATCTACTAGGATTGTGTTCGAATTAATGGCCTCAAAGAATTGGTGACTGCAACGTTCTGTGATATTATTTGTTTTCGTGAAATTTGTAGCCGGTCTAAATGAGGCATCTAACTTCGATTCCTTAGATATGAAGATCAAGATGGTGTGGACTTTTTTTTGGTCGCAGTATCATTTAGCTTTATAGAAGGTATGAAGACCAAGATTATGTGGCCTTTTGTGTGGTCGTAGTCTCCTTGCGTTGTATAGAAGTTTTTTGACTTTGCTTTCGCAACTCGGTCATATTGGTAGGAATGCACCTTGTACGGAGTCCATTTTATGCATAATCATTTTCAATGTCGGACCGTGGAAGTGGTGCATTCCCAGACATCTCGCCGGCATCGTAGTCGTCGTCAATGAGTTTTGCCATTCCTAGCACCATATTTCAACTCGTCAAAGAGACAAGCACACGTTTGGTCAAAGGATCGGCTTAACTTGTCCCTTTGACGAGTTGTAATATGGTGTTATGAATGGCAAAACTCACTGACTATGCCGACTACGATGCCGGCGCAGCGTCTGGGAATGTACCACGTCCACGGTCCGACTTTGGAAGTGAGCATGCATTAAATGGACTCCGGACAGGGGGCGTTCCTCTAATTCTTCCTAACAATATGACCAAGTTGCGAAAACAAGGTCAAACAACTTCTAGCTTTATATAGTTGGTTCGACCTTGTTTTCGCAAATTGGCAGGAGCGTCAGGGAGACTTCGTGTAATGTACCTAGTCCTGTCTCCTTTGTACCCAGCCAATGGTAAAATGCTGAAAATCAAGAATACTATGTCAGAGAACACAGGACTTGGTAAGTTCCACAAGGTATCCCTGACGTTTTGATCAAGTTGCGAAAAAAAGTCGAACCAACACTTTGATGACCTTAGTTCATTTACAATTTATCCTCCAAGAGCAAAAAAGTAAGATTGTTTTGATTCTGGCAAATGATTAAACCACATGATTCCATCAATCCTTGATTTGTATTGAGAAAAGTTACATTTTTTAATTTAATCATTTGGTGAAATGTATATTGTGAGACAGGAACACGTATCCAGTACACAAGAAGGACCCAACTTTGAACATAAATGGAACCTTGCATGACATGCTGAAATATATTCATAGGAACGGCGGGATCAATGGATGGACAATAAATTCATTAATAAAAAAGAATGCATGGCCACCAGCAGCCTACTGGTTGGCGAAGTTACACAACGAAGGAGAACCACTAAGTCTGATAGTCAATAATAAATATGGAGCCTCACACAAATGAGCAAAATTCATATGTCTGAAACTCAAGAGGGTAAATGGCTGATTATCAAACACAGTGAATCTATCATCAATTTTCTCAGAAGATCAAGAACATGACACTGGAAGAAACAAAATTATTGGTAAGTTTTGCTGTATAATCTATGTACACAAACATATCTGGATAAAAAGCGCGCACGGCCCTGGTATAAATTTTGTATCGAGAAAAGGATGTCATAGAAGCAGCGAGTATCAGAACAGAAGCGTTAACATGATTAATTAACGTGAAAATAACGACTACCTACTTCACATTAAACGGCCATATCTATGAACAGATATTTGGACTTCCTATGCGATCGCTACTTCCATCTCTTTTGGTAAATGTATGTATGAACATATTAGAAGAGAATTTCAAGGTGTCACAGCTGCAACCAAGAGTTCTTATGCGGTACCTGGATGACTACTTCGCAATTCGGTCGTATAAAAGAGAAAAATGGGAGACTCATCAAGTTTATAAACCGGATTGATGAACGAATCAAATTTACAATAGATGTAGAGGGAGATGTGGAAGTCATTCGCTCTAATGGGACACTAAGGAAAATTGTTACGAAAGAAGTCATATGCCAGAAAAAGACTCAATTGTGAGGCTCGTCACAACTACAGAATGAAGATAGGCATACTGAGGATCATGAACATCAGAGGACTACGATTAACGGACGTGGAATTATGGAATGAAATTTTAGGCAAATTGACTAGGATACCTCCCGGCAACGGATATCTGGAGGAAGTAATACAAAAATAAATAGTGACCATGATGAGCCCAGGACGGGGATTATGAAAGAAAGGAAAAGATGAAGAGAGACTCGCAAAATTGAATATGCTTCTCTTCCTGTGAACATACTCAAGAGCTACAGACAGTATTAAGATAATGGAATATTCAGGAAAGCACAGAAGAAAAAAACAACTCTTCACAAATCTACCTACGCCACGTGAGAAGATAGACAAATACAATTGCTTGGGAGTTTAATGCATAGCATGCGGCGCCTGCAGACATAAAATATTGGCGAAACAGGGAGAAAAATCAGCATACTAATCAAGGAATATAAAAAACTCCATAAAAATTGATACTGAATGTTCAGAATTACCGGAACAGGTCGCACAGACTGTACACGAGATCAATTGGAAGGCAACGGAAACAAGGGCCTTATTTGGTGAAAACCCAAAGAAACGGAAGTTTATGGCGGCCATTGATATCCTTGCGGAAAAAATGAAATGAACAGGATATTTAAAGAAGGCAGAATTAGTGCTAACTCTGCCTATTGCTTAATCAAACTCGAAGAAAATAAGGATACAATAAGGCAAACAAAAAAGAGGCGTCTGGATTAAGGATCTATCGAAAAAAAGAAGTTTCGAAAATAAAGCGAAGACGTTCTCAGTGAGTGTAGTCAGTTTGGGGGCCCGTTGGCCACGTGACTAGGGAGATTAATCATCACACCCTTCACAGATATTCGGCTTTATAGTAAAATTGACTAAAAATCCACTCAAGAGGTAGAAGACGATCAGAGATAGTAGTGCACAGTTTGCTGAGGGTACGCGGGTTTAATCAAGGAGATGATGCATTAAGGAAATGCCTAATATCTGCAAGCATAGGAATTGGGGTCTAGGCGGTCTTCAGGTGAGGCGACATTATAAGTGCTACTGAAGGCTTGAGAAATAGTGTCTGGAGTAAAACGTACATTGGGGCTGGAATCGAGTGAAATCGGTCAACCAGAAAGATAAGACAAGGATCTACGGGCCCATGAGGCATATATGGACGGGGGCCCGAGTAGGATAAGCCACTCGAAAGGGAGGATAGCAAGGCAAACAACAGGTGTGATAACGCCACGGTAAATCCGCAAAAATTACGTTTGATATCGTTATTATGAGGTATGGGACGAATCGAACACATGTCTTTTTTAACCATCGTATTATTTCCTTTTTCTAATTTCCGCCGCCTCTATTATACTCGTATGAGAGATGTGTCC